TCATTTCTTCTCAGTTTTGTCCAGTGAAATTCATCTACTTCATTCTCTTGCAAGGCTCCCTGTGGCCTGTCCCACCTGGCTTGTCCCCTCCTATCAGTGTGAGAGTGCACTACTAATGAGACACCAGCTTCTTCTCAGCCAATTCCTAAATTTCACACATTTCTGTCTTTTACTGCTTTATAGAATAATTTTCCAGCAAATAAAATTTATCAGAAGTTTACTCATTCTGAATCATAGGGCCTTTTTTATTATGCCTACAGGAAAGATGACAATGGTCAAACAGGAGGTCCAATGAAACCTCAAACTAGTATTCACTCTCTGTCTTCCTGTCTTGTCCTCCTTTCATTTCCATATGGGCTGGCTGGCTTGTTTTATACTTTGAAGGTTAGTTCTTTTGGATGGGAACAACTGCTTTTTTTTCTTTTTTTTCCCAATCATATTTCCTCAGCAATGTTGAGGGTCTTTAAGTGTTAGACTCTGCGTAACATATTTGAGCATGGAGGTCTAAAACACAGGTAGACAGTTCAGTAAATATATTCTTGTAAAAGTACACTTTTACTGAGTACTCCTATCTCTCCGCCTGGGCATGAGAGTATTTAATGCCACCTGTGCTATGCAAACATCAAAGATTTTAAGACTATCCTATTCTAATTATTAATCCTTAAGAGAAGCAGAGAACATTAATGCTATTCTACTGCTCTAAGTGCTAAAATACATACACAGACTACCTTTCCATAATATTGGATTACCTGCAATGTTTAATGGAATTGTCCTGGCAGCATCTTTCTCAAATATTTAAGAACCACTGTTTGTATAATATGGACAGTAATTGGCATGAATTAAGCATCTTGCCAAAGGTCTTATGGTAAGTCTGCAACAGAGCAGAGATTTTGATGCTGGCATCCTAACTTCATAGCTGTCCCAGTGCCTCTTAATAACACAGTTATGCTTCATGATGTTTTAAATCAATCTGACAGCATCAGGGCTTGAAAGGTATTGTGAACAATGCAGACTTTGCAGAAATCCAAACAGTATACATTTACCATAAATACTACGGATGGGTAATTACATATTACAAATTTTGAAGCATGAAATAATAATTTTAATGATTGCATGAAGCATGTGCTCAAGCATAAATACAGGAAGGAACAAAAAGAAATTCAGACTAATATATAGCACATAAAAGTCCGTGGACAGGATCACTTTGAAAATGGTCAATACTTTTGTGTAACAGTTTATTTATGGTTTTATTTATTTGGTATGTAAATTACCATCAATAATGCAGATGCAGTACATAAGAAATGCCTTTCTTCCACTTGTTTTACTGGAATAATATTACATAGTTCATCTTTTCAAGGGCTATATGACTAAAACCCAAACTGGATAAGATGATGCCTTCACATTAGTCTTATTCCCATAACTCAGACACTTATCTCCACTAAAATCAATAGATTTTTGAGTGTGCAAGAAGTAAAAGACAAGCATACTAAATACTTTTAATCCTGTGTTGGCAAATAGACTTGTAATTCTTTTACACTTATCTCTAAGGCTGATCTCTACTTTGCATATTTTCAGAGTTTTGATCTACAAATGGGTTTTAATTTGTTGACTTTTGCAAGAACAGACTTGTGGGAGTGAGGGCAGGTCATGCATAATCAAAGAGTAAAACAAAGACAAAAGAGAGATGCAGACAATCTGAGCTCAATTTCTGTATGAAATACAATTAACATTATAATTTCCTTGTACCACACAAAGACCTTCCTGTACTGGGTGTCCTGCATATTTAGGGGATTTTTGAAAGATTCAAGAGATCTCTATCTAGGCAAATGGTACAGAGTCTTATGAAATGAACATGAAAAATGTAGGCATGCTTTTGTCTCTCTTTGGCACTTGGTAAGAGGCACAGAAAGATGAAAGGACTTTCAAAAGAACATTGTGCTAGATCTGGAAGCAGAACCCTCTGACTCAGGGCCTGAACTGAAAAGCTTTTTGCCTTCTGTTAGAAGACAAGAATTCAACAAACTGTGGAAATGAGGAAAATTGTACATAGGCTCTGTAAGTAGAATTAGACATTGATATGCGTGAGTGCTTGAGAAACTGCCAGCTTACAAGAAACTTTCAGCTGTATGACAAAAGGCTGGGATGCAAATGCCATTTATACTCAGAGCCAATGACTACCTTAAACCCTGATAGGGCATGCCAAGATTAACAGTGGTGTATAACCTGCACTGTGTCCCTCCCAAACACTGCTCTCCCCATGGTGAAGTGGCAGCTAGTCCTCCTATTGTTTAGAGGTAGGAAGCTTCAGCCAGACTCCACTCTGCAGATACAATATAGAATGCAACTCAAATAGTTGCAAATCAAAACCCTATTAGTACGACTGACCTCATTCTTTACCTGGAAAAATTCTCTCCAGAGATCAGTCATTTAAGTATATCTATCCTTGATAACCCAGTAGGCCTGAAAATGAAATAGCTTCTCTAATGCAAGCAACAAGAATCAATAACCTTTAAACACACAAGGACATTTTATTGTCTGAAGTGTATATGAGTCATGCCATCACTAGACCAGTTCATTTTTGTAATTTGTAGACAATAAGGACAGGCAGCGTTGTGGTCCTTGCAGAGAATATTGGATGGGCCAGATGCTCAAGACTTGGGAGCTCTGTAAATCAGACTTTCCTGGGAGAAATGCCTAGTGGAGAGTATGTGAGCACAGGCTACATTAAGGGTTGATTCTTTAAAAAAAAAAAATTGAATTAGTTGTGGCCAAAATTATGCATTTTTTTCTGCATTTATCAGCAAACCTTTAAATAGATATTGTTGTCAAAGTGTGATGAAGCTAAAATGTCACCTTTGCAGATTCAGCTACAATATTGATTAAGAATTGGGGAGGGCAGGAAATGAGAGAGTTTTGCCATGGAAATACAGAATCACAGATTCACAGAATTGTTAGAGTAGGAAGGGACCTCTGGAAATCATCTAGTCCAACTCCACTGACAATGCAATTCCTTAGGAATTCCACTGATTGACACAAGGAAAAGAAAAGGTGGGAGGTATATATTAGAAGCGGGTCCTAGGCAATTTGGAAAGTCTGTTCCTCTCAAGTACCTCAGCCAATGGGGAAAGAGAGTGGCAGGGAAAATTCAGATAAGAAGGAGGCTGAGTCCTCTAACAATTAGAGAGACCCCATGGGAAATGCCCATGAACTCTCGCTTTATTCAAATAAAGTAACTCTTTATTTGAATAAAGGGGAATCCTCTGTCTCCTTTTTGGACATAAACCTCTGATGTTTGTGGGTTAATTTTCCTGACACAAACAGTGCTTTTCTTTGTATTATATGTCACTGAGTTTCACTAATTAATTCCTCTGTTTCCCATTTAATCAAATTTAATATGGGAGTGAATTTACACTATTAGAAAAAAATAGCCACAAAGGGAAATGTGAAAGTTATGTAAACAGTAGTCAAGCACAAGGTTTGTAAAATTGACCATTAAAATTTGTAAAATTGACCCATACTTACAGGTGCAGCTCTGTACCTGTGATAATCACATTTAGAGTAACATGAATGGGAGTATAACACAGATGTAGTTAGCTACAGTTAGCAGATTACTAATGGCTTGTTGTTTTGAACCATTACTTTGACTTGAAAAGAATGAGTTTATCCAAAAACAGGTCTATTTAAATACAGACGCAAAAAACCTTGTTGAATCAGGAACAGAACTGAGCTTGAACTACATTTACCTCAAATTTCTTGTTCCTCGTTCATTAAATTAAAAAAAAAAAGAAAAAAGGCAGGAAAAATAGCCTGGTTATCTGTATTTGAAGGCTTGAGAGTAGGAGGGCTCTGCAGAGGGATCAGGGCAGGCTGAATCAATGGGCCAAAGCCAATTGGGTGAAGCTCAACAAGGCCAAGTGCCAGGTCCTGCACTTGGGTCACAACAACCATAGGCACTGCCACAGGCTGGGGGCAGAGTGTTTGGAAAGTTGCCCTTTGAAAAAGGACTCGGGGTGCTGGTCAACACTGACTGAGCATGAGCCAGTGAGTGCCCACGTGGCCAAGGCAAATGGCATCCTGGTCTGGATGAAGGGAAATCAAGCTTGCACCAGGGAAGCTTTATGTAGTATATTAAGAAAAAATTATTCACCAAAAGGTTTGTCAAGCTCTTGAACAGGGTGCCCAGGGCAATGGTGGAGTTGCCTTCCCTGGAGGTGTTTAAAATATGTGTAGATGTGGTGCTTAAGTGCAGGCTTCAATGTTGGACTTGGAAGTCTTGGGTTAAGGGTTGGGCTTGACGATTTTAGAGGTCTTTTCCAACCAAAATTATTCAATGAAGCTATAATTCCACGATTAAAGCTTGAGTGATATAAAATGCTGGGGAATAGGTAGATAGAAAAGCTGCTCACTTTTTGGATAGCTGTGATCTCCATTATACATTTTTCCCCCCAGGCGAACAGTTTTCATCCCTTATAAATTTTCTGCAGTGTAACATTGAATTCTTGTACTCCTAAAAAAGATTTAAGATCTTGGGTTTTGATTTTCATATAAGTGTAACTTTTTTGGAAGGGGAGGGAAAGCCTCTCCTACTGTAGTCTAGTGTCAATTAATACAGTTAAAGACAAACTGATGATATTTAAGTCCTGTGAACTGATCCGTGAATCTATTTTTACCATTGGTTTGTCTTTTGTATTCAATTTCATATTTAATTTGGCTTTCACAACAATATCGGTAACTTGCTATTATGTCAAAACTTATATATTATAGTATCAGGAAAACAGAGTGTGCCTTGTCAGTAGTTCTTAGTACAATAATAAATATGTATGTTGGAAATTTTTGCATGCAGCTATCTTGAAGTGGCTGAATGACAACTGAGTTTCATAACTAAACTAAGACACAAATCTAGGGTTTGTGAGTGAATGCCACAAACATCCACTATTCCAATAAATACAAGAAGAAATCCTGCAAAGGTGGTGGAATTGAAGTTATTTGTAAACACTTACTGCAAGGAAGATCTGAAGAGAACTGTGAGCCACTTCTATGTACTGATATTCAAGGAAACACCCCGAGACAGTGATATAACGATGATCCTCTGGTGCCCACTCTGGTGCTGGGGTTACTGAGGTCACGGTGCAGCCCGGCCCATTCTCCATCCACCAGGAACGGTGCATTGAGATGTTAAAGGTCAGAATGAGATCTGTTTCCTGCAGAAGAACAAGAGAAGAATTAATGCATGGGGATGGTACTGTGGTATCCAATGCCTCAGCAAAGGATTTCACAGCATGCATAAAGAAGCAAAGAGCTGCAATAAAACTGCGCTGTCGCATGAAAGTTAGTGGAGCTTGCCTGCTGCAAGCAGAAGTAGCTGTACCCTGTCAGGCAGAAATGCTTTGGAGCAGAAAAATAATCCTGCAAGCCAGGATCTGTTCCTAGACATCATGGCAGCCTAGACCATAGCACTCATTTCTGTAATTGCCATTTTCCAGTGGATACCATAAGGATAGATGGCCCATGTTTTGTTGGTCTGATGTACCAAACTATAAAACCATCCCCCAGAATTAAGACTCCATACACTTTAATATACACACATCATCTGCAAGGAGTTTTTCCTCATGGACCCAATGAAGGAGAACTCTACTGAAATATTGGAGAAGATTGAAGAAAAGGATCCTATACATTTGCTTGCAGGCAAATCTCTTTACAATGCCTCTGTCTGATTGGTAATTTCCTACGATCCTGCAAAGAAATAGTGAGTGCTGCCTTGTCTAAAGACTACTGGGCTAGTTAAAAAGAGGGGCAGAGGTGTGCAACATTTAACTCCCACACAGCTAGTGTGATACCGGAGTAACTAGTCAGCCATGCCTTCCATTAGGATTGCATTTATAAATAGTTCATAAAGGATTAATGAATTATTAATACACATCATAAACAACACTACGGATATTACTTTCATAAATTATATGTGGTTGCACATTACTTGAGGGTGTTACAGATAGCTATAACAAAACTATGGACTCTGTGGAATCTGTAACTGCCTACAGTGTTTACCAACATTTTATAATTAATTTATAACTGTAACCTCATTGTAAAGTGTGACTATCTAGTCTGTGTGCACATGTGCCCAGTCATGCAAAAAAAATTGCTTTTAAGTAATGTCTTTGCAGAGCTGAACTCTCCCCACACCTAACCTACATTTTTTCAGCCTGTTGATGTCATTAATAATTAAGATTCTCATAAAGATTTTAAAATGTAACTATTTAATTAGGCTTACCATGCCAAATATAATAGAATGCTATTCTATAGCAGATAAGTTGTATTCACATTTCCCTCTCTTCAAAAGAGCTGTTTTTTCAGTCCTACTTATTTCACTTTTTTGCACTAACTTATGATGCGGTAACTCCATCCAGAGAGGTTTTGTCAGTCGATCTGTGGTTGCACTTGATGCTGCAGTGTAGCTTAATGTTTTTTCTCTGATTTGCACTTTGTACCAAAAGTATGGAAAATTTTTACATTTAAAAAAATAAACAGTCACTATCCCGCATAAGCGCACACAGCTATCAGATGACAGGAAGGACTTAAATATGTTTGCAATGAATAATTACCCCTCATTCCCACAACAGTCCAATCCAGAAAATAATGAGCTGTATGAGAATATTTAAAATGCTTCATATGTATCTAATCATAAAACTAACTTCAAGCATTTGTTAGTTTTGATCAAAGCTACAGCAAACATTTCTATAAACTATGCAAATTGTGCCCAAATTTATATATTGATGTATATTTATAAGTTTTCATCCCCCAAAACCATCTCCTTTCTCTGTATTTTTTCCCTACTAATGCCATAGACACTGGAAAGTGTCTGCCACGTGGTCCTTGGAAATGGGAATTTTTACCTTTCACCTAAGCCAGAAGATTATTTTTCTTATTGAAGGCAGGGCTGCTACAGCCCCTCAAGTGGAACACTGGTCTTCTCACTTAAAATAAGAAGTTGTAGAATAGACATCTTTGGAGTAACTTTGCCTAAAGTAATAGATTTATTCCTAAATTACTGAAACTGGAATCCATCACATTATTGTCAAAAGAACTTTCAACCATTACCATGGAAAATTCAAAACCCCTACTCTCTTATCAGAAATGCAGCACAAATGAATAGGACTCATTGTCTATTTTTGTTTAGCTTTGCAATACCTTGAGAAGAATCATGATGGACTAAATGTATTTCACAAAGTGCAGACTAGGGATGAAAAATGTATTCCTTGAAAAAGAAAGTGATAAACCGGTTTGCAGGAACTGAGTATTTGTTATGCATTTGCCAGATGAAGTGAAAATGGATCAAGAGGAGCTAAACATAAAAATCAAAATTTGGCTCTGTGTGTAGAATATAACTTCTCTAGGGGCAGCTATTTTTGCTTACCACAGATTCAATAATAAAACACTTTATTAGTTAAAAGCACAAGCAAATTTCCAAGTTACATGGGAAATATAATTGCACATTAAAATATTTAAGATTACATATGTAAATAAAATAGTTTACAAAATCTAGCTTCCTCCCATCCCTGAATTTATCCTCAGATGATTTAAAAAAATATTTACATATTTCCTTTGCATTCAAATAATCTTTTGGCAGTTAAGTTGAATGTTGTGATTAGGATTTGTTTTGTTCAGGAATAGTCTTTGAGTGCTTACCAGTGAAAAAGTTATAGATCTTTAACAGACCTATATTCTATTTCTTTCTCAAAATAATCAGTAAAACACTATTCTGTTGTTTTTTTTTTTTTTGTTCTAAAATAGATCAGATACCCAGCATAGAAATGTTATATTCCTTAATTCTTAATAGTAGTAACAATAACAACAACAACAACAACAACAACAACAACAACAACAATAATAATAATAATAATAATAATAATAATAATAATAATAATAATAATAATAATAATAATAATCCTACTGAAAGTCACAGCTTCAAATATTAAAGAACTTTTCATCATATGATTGAGAAAGCTTTCAAAAAGCAGTTGTTACATACTGAGCCAGTTAAGAAAAAAGGTCAGCTTCAGAAAGCAAAATAATAAATCATGAAATCTGGTTCTGTGAGACTAGACACCACTCATGTGTCAGGTACAATTTGGATGGATTAAGAATAACAATGAAATTGAATCTTGAGAAGTCAACATGCAAGTCAGACCTTGCAAATTTCTATCCCCAAAATATCTGGGATCAGAATAAACATAGAAGGAGCCTATTAACTACAAAGAAGCTGCACAGTTAAATCTTAGGTATAAATTGTTATGTGCTTTGGACTTGCCTATAACTTTCAAGCCATGCCCCCTTTCATACAACCATATTAGTAGAGCAGCTCCTGTTGCTCAGTAATGAAGGCCACCCAGCTTATGAAAAAGTTTCCTTTAGTGAGAAAACACTTAAGGAATTGAATCCTCTTTTAGAACTGTGGAAGCCAAGAAGGGAATGATGTATCTATCATTAACATCTCTTCTACTGACAGCATTTAGAGCTATTTTTGGACAAACTCTGCTTGCTATTTACTTTGTTCACTGTTTGAATACAGTTTTAGTGGACATAGACAAAGTCTACAATGGAAGCTAGGGATTTATTATGCTCTCTAGTGTATTTGCTGTCTGTTTCCCTTCCAACATCTGTGGCTCAAACTTTGTTCAGGGAAATGCAGAGAAATGGTCCGATAAGCCTTGAAGCTATGAAAACTAACGAGAATTGTTGATACACATTGGGCAAGCCAATATGTTGTTGTTCAAAGTCTGTATGTCAAGGAAGATTTCATTATCCTAAATTCAACAAACAGCTGCTTCCTTTGTGGACATAGAAATACATCTGTAAGGGCTTTATTGCCTATCACAGTGCTGTTTTTGTAATTCTGCTGGTATTTGTAAAGCTTTTTAGTGAAAATTGGTGCATTAAAGCAGATTTTGATACTCATCAAGAAAAAAAACCCAAAGGAAAACATTTTGTAGGACATCTTTGCTGACATTCTGAAGACGTGCTGATATTTGTAGTGGTCAGGAAAAATACTGCTAGATCAGAAAAATCTTGAAGTTTGGAGATCTCAGAGACTCAGATTTCTGAGATTAGGATATGAGACATCTTCAAATTACATCAGTAATTTTATTTCAGCTTAGTTGGTAAAAAATTTGAGCTCTGATGGTTTAGTGCCTATGTTTAATACAGTAGATGGCAACCTTCTCAGGGGTCAACTGCACAGTACATAGCATTTTCTGTTTGAGGACAGCTGATAACAGAACATGGCAACATAATGCTCTGTAAAAGCTGCCAGAAAAAGAATAAAAGCTTCTTTGTAATCAGACACAGCAGGAGGACAGCACTGCTTAAAAGGAAAGACAGCTCTTTGTGAATTGTATTAATACTAGCACATGCTAGTAAGTGAGCTGTCTCTTTGCAGAAATCACAATATATTACTGTTTCAATGATTTTTGTTGGTTGCACCTCAGAGAAGCTAATTCCAAACAGTGCCATGAGAAAAAAGAGGCAAGAGTTGTGCAGGGTGATTCTCCTTGAAAGCCCAGGAGATCTCGCAGACTCAGGGAAGTTGAATTGTACTGATTTCAATGGTTGTGGCTTGCTTTGTCATGGGAAATGATTTCTTCTATTTTTCTAATTAGGAATTGCTGAAATCTGTGCAAACCTTCCAAGCCTCTGCACATCTTTTGTCGAATACAACCGCGTAACCACTTGTTCCATTTATCAAACTCAAACTAGCAAGCACAGGCTGCTTGGAGAGTGAACAATCACACAAGGTTTCAGTGATAAAAGATCAGGGTCTGAAAGCATTTGTAGTTTTGGATGCCTAGGATGCACTGAGCCTCTACAGGATTTTATTTTTCTTCTGTTATCTCACTTTTCCACTAAAACTAACTCCCACCAGGCAGTACCATTTTCTCATGCAAGAAGACTTTTCCCTGTGTAAAGAAAAAAACTCTCCTCACTGAAGAACCAAAATAGAGCTTGTCAGCTGTGGGGTTTTTTGGTTTTGGTTTTTTTTCTTGTTTTTTTGGGGGGAGATTTTTTTTTTGGTTTGTTTTTTTATCTGCTTTTAAATTCAAAGTTGATATATAGAAAACAATTATTGTATAAATCTTTAGGGAAAACAGATATTTAAAGATAATATTTTTCTATTTAATTGCTTCTGAATTGCATTTTTTCCTCCCTA